CCATAGAACACTTAAGAACAAACTCCATGATAGCAGATCCTCTAACTAAAGGACTTCCGCCCAAGGTCTTTCATGAGCATGTTGCTCACATGGGTGGTTCACAATTTGAGGAATTTGTGGTTTAGTGGGAGTTAGCCATTTTCATATATTTTATGTTCTATGTTTAATTTCATGTATGTATACATTGATTTTTTGGACATATTTGGTTATCTATAGATATGCATTTTTTCGTTCATTCATGACACTTTGTATATTAAGGTTATTATATCGATCTCGATAAGTCAAAGTTTGGACTAGTTGAAAATAGACGTGTACAGATCACCTTCACGTAATTTTCATGCTACACATTTCATGATGAATCCATGTCATTTGGTTATGTCAGGATTAGTAATCATTGTTGGTTTTAGTTGCGATGATGCAATGAAAAACTAGTTTGGTTCTATATCCTGATATGATCAATGGACGAGACTTTTGGAGTATGATAAAGGAATATAATGACAATTTTGAGCTCATAAAGTCTAACACATTTATAAGGTTGTAAGGACATATATATTTGTGACCAGTGGGAGATTGTTAGCAAATTTTGGGTCATGTATATATATGATACATAATTTAAATGTGTTAGGGTCATTATTTATTAAGCCAAATAATAAAGTGATCTGACTAAATTAAAGTTTTGACTAAAGGCATATGTCATGAAAATAAAATTGTGTAGAGACCGTTGAACAATTTCTAATTTGATGAGGGACCAAATTAGAAATACTAAAACTTAAGTAATTAACCTAATTCTTGTTATTTAAAGGGTCATGGTTCCCTTCTGGGAGCACACACACAGAACGTAAGTCTCAGTTCTCATTCCTTTCTTTCTATCCCCATCAAGAGAGAAAATCAAGAGGGAAATACAGGTGCTCTTCAGGTGGAAGACCATAAGATCAGTAGTGCTTTACAAGGATATCATCATTATGGTTGATTTAGGTACGCTTTCGCATTCAGTTTACAACATGTTTATCAGTGTGATATTACGTTTATGTTTGATAGTTAGAATCAAAATCAGGATTATAATTATTATTAATTTTCCAACACTCTCATCTATAAATTTCAAAATGAAATTACTGAGGGGCGTGTATACTCTATTAAAAATTTTGGTCTTGGATCAAATGGTGGTTCTTATAGAACCACCTACCACCCATACAAAATAACTTCCAGTTTGGAACCAAAGTGAACTTAGTTGATTGTCATGTTATAACTGAAAATAATGGTCAATATATACCGCTCTCAGTTATTACGACTCCTGAATTTGACACAAGTTACTTGGTTGGTAAGTACATATAACATGATGTTAAATACTCTCTTTTATCATATACTATTTATTTATTATTTAATATATGACGTTACTCACATGAAACATCATTTCACAAACAGATGTCATGGGAATACTTATCGGAGTTGGGACAGAAAGAGAGCTAGGAATGGTAAAAAAACAAAACTAAACATGATATGCTTACAGGCTGATGGGTAAAGTTCTTTAACCCATTTATTGATGCTTAAGGATGAATTCCTTATTAGTCTATTCATTATTAGAAGCTAGTTTTCCGACTCTTCTAAACAAACCAGTAAAGATGAATTCCTTCAATATACTCTTAGAAATACAATAGAGGATTTAAAAGATTGTAAACAGGTGTCATAGTCATTATTAGTCTATTCATTACTCCATTCCTATTAATTAGTGATGTTCATTGTGGTTATTGTCTATTCATTTTAGTTTTAATTACTATTGTTCATATTTGTTTTTACAGGAAACACTTTTTGTAATTCTAGGCACTATAAAACATATTGTTCATGATGATGATTGGTGGTATACAACTTGTGTGTGCAACAAAGCAATATATCCAGATTCCAAAATGTTTTTCTGTGAAAAATGTAATAAACATGTCATGAAAGTCATGCCTAAGTACTAATCAATGCTATTTTTTTGACATCATATTTCAACTTTTTTATGAAATTCTTACAAATAATATTTTATTGCTTATGAATTTCAGGTACAAGCTTAAGGTGAGGGTCATTGACGAAACAGACTCAGCAAAGTAATTTTTGATAGGGATACTGTTACATTGTTAAAAAAATCATGCGCAGAGATGGTTGATTCGCATGATAAGTTTTTTTTTCTATATTTAGTATTTATTAAATGTATTATGTATTATTTATCTATTTATTACATTGCATTGAATGTTTAATATGTTTTTTTATAGAATGTTGTTAATGAGAATTTCCCGAATGAGATTGAAGAACTGGTAAATAAGACGTTTCTCTTCAAAGTTGAGTATACATGTGGTCAGAGTTTCAGGTTTGAACAAACATTCAGAGTCAAGAAAATTTGTGCAGATGATGTTATTATAAAAAACTTCATCGATGGTTGCATGAAATCAATGGTAAATATTTGTTATTCATGATATTCTACTTCTGTACTGACCAAATGAAGTTTATTAGGATGTCAATTCAAAAAATGCAATATTCAATAGCAAATAATCAAATTTTGGAAATACTTCTATTATTGTTGCCGAGGTATTTAATGGATTTCTCTTCATTATTACAAATATAACATCAAAACAAATTAGTTTAAAGTATGTCCACTTATTTTTACAGGATTTGTTAACAAAGTTCTCTAATGCATCTAATGATGTTGACTCTGAACCAGCTGATTTAGCATCTGATAGTGGTCTCAGTAATGACTTGGTCATGACAAATCTTAAACGACACAATATAACAAACTTGGACACACAAGATGAAGATATACCTTTAAAAATATTGAAGAAAAATATCAAGAAGGAGAAAAATAACTTAATAGATATGATGAACTTCATTATGATGTGTTGTATTATCAATATGAATATTTTGAATATTTTGTTATGGTACTTTTGATGAACTGCATTATGATCTAAGAAATTTTTTGAATATTTTGTTGTTATAGTTTTGATGAACTGCATTATAATATGTTGTATTATCAATATAATGAACTCTTTTATAATATTTATGTTAGTTTGGTGAGATCGGATAAGTTATATGTCATTCCTCAAACATCCTTTGCATTTATTTACACATTTTTTCTACAACATGGTTTTATATTTTTTGAAGCCTAATGATTTTATGGAGTAATGGAATGTCCACTTACTTTAAGTATTGGGAAGTATTCTTATTATATCTTTTTATACAAGCCTTTTTTACATTTTCTAAGGCCCAATCATTTGATGGAGCAATGGAAGTCCACTTAATGTAAATATTTGTAAGTATTTTTATCTTTTAAATCTTCGAATTGTATTCAAGCATTTACCTGCATTTATTTATTATTACTATCTCGGTTCTTTTGATAAGCAGGTGAAAATATAAATCATTACTCTATTTCTAATACATGCCGGAAGCATACATCGAAGGAAGAGAAACCATCATACTATTTTTTTCCCATCTCGTCCCATCATTCAACTTTAATATGTGACAAATCTACTCATCTAATCCTATCCCATCATTTTTTTATTTCTTTTATTATTTTATTCATTATTTATAATTATGATTTACATTGGAAACATACCACTCTAATGGTAGCATTCATTACCATTGATAATTTCAAAGATTCATCATTTGCATTTATTTACTCATATTTACACATATTTTTTTTACAACACGGTTCTATATTTTTTGAGACCCAATGATTTCATGGAGAAATGGAATGCCCACTTAGTTTAAGTATTGACAAGTATCCTTATTATTTCTTTTTATACAAGTCTCTTTTACATTTGTTGAGCTCAATCATTTGATGGAGCAATGGAAGTCCATTTAATATAACTATTTTTAAGTATTTTTATCTTTTCAATCTTCGAATTGTATTTAGACATTTTACCTGTATTTATTTCTTTTTTTTATTAATACAAATTATTAATAGTAAAATATTATTTATTATTAATATAAAAATTTCAAAAATCCCGTGGGTTGCACGGGTTATGATACTAGTTCATTTACATTCACGGTATAGTTTCTATGGAAGACTAAATTGAAAATTTAATAAGTTCAAAATTACATGTATCCTGTCGTTAATCATAGCTATTAAATTTTTCTTAATACATCTAATAGTTAAAAACAACATTGGTCAAGTGGTGGACCACTTAAATGTATGCTCGTTTGGTAGAATGCACTATATGAAACGGACAAATTGTAGTTTCGGTAGTTACTTGAATTTCTTAGCTATTCCATTAACTAAGTTATGAAGTTTAATTAGAAGATTTTGATCAAATTAACATACAAAATTTTCTATAATAAAAGTTGAGACATTTTCAAGTTTCTGTACTTCCGTTTGTAGTTTATGGAGGCGTCCAATCCCTCGAAAATTAAAATTAGCTTGAGTTGGTACAAAGCATTTTTAAGTGGTGTCAAACCTTAAAACTTGACCTAAAGAGTAGATAATTTTAAAAAAGTTGAATCTCATGCAAATGGATCTTTCAAATAGAAAAGTAAACGATGTATCAGTGGGAGTGACAGAGAAAATCTACCTAATACATTTTATTGGATAATTATCAATGTACACTCTATTTCTAGGAACACAGAAAGAAAAAAGAGAAAATTATGTTATGTCCCTTATATTTTTATGTCTTCAAAATTCTAGTTTTTGGGTCAGTCAGAGTTGCAGGATGATGCACCCTTTTGTCGTCATTGATTTCAAGATATTCTTAATTAATTGTGGGATGCATTCATTTTATAAACCAACAAACAGATGAAGCTTCCTAGTTGAGGACTGTAAATACTAATTAAAAGCCAAGATTGGAAACTTTACTCATTGTCTGCATTCATCAGAAAGGTACGGCTCTAAAATATGCTTGTCAAATATCCATTTCTTCAACCCAAACATGTTAATATTAGGGGAGTAATCATAAAAGAACCAGAGAATCAGCAGTGGCAAGATCTCAATTCTCATGAACATGCCCTTCAAGAACCATTTTCTAGTGTTAATCATGATGGTTCTTTCCTTCAATTCTGATGTTCAAGCACAATACAATGAGACAGATACCACTCCAGATTTCCCTCAACCTGTTCATGCAAGCAAGCTGGTTGTAATAGTGACCCTCTCAATATTGTTCACTGCATCATTTCTCTTACTTGTCTATATAAGGTTCCGGAGAACCATCCCTCTTGAGCTCACCCACAGAAGTAGCCACCATTCACCCAATTTTCAAGCACTAACTCGGTCAAGATCAAGGCATTTAGGAATAGACAGACAAGTGATTGAAGCACTCCCATTTTTCAGATTCTCTTTCCTTAAGGGGTCCAAACAAGGCCTAGAGTGCACGGTTTGTTTGTCACAGTTTGAGGACGCCGAGATTCTTAGACTCTTGCCAAAGTGCAAACATGCTTTCCACTTGAATTGCATTGACAAGTGGTTTGAAAGTCACTCTACTTGCCCTCTTTGCAGGAATAATATTGACCCTTTAGACATCAAGAACTTCACCAACTCAATCAGTTCAAGGTCCATAAGAGTTCCTTCAAATTTAACCCAGGACAATAACCTTGAAATCTTCGTTCACAGGGAAACTTCCCATCAAGGGTCGTCGTCGTCGTCATCATCATCATCATCATCAAGGTTTAACCTCGGAAGCAGGTTTTGGAATTTGGGCAGGAGCAACAAAAAAGAACTTCTCGTTGACCAAGAGGTTCATGGAGCAAATGGGACTCACGTGCACAAGTTCAATCACAAAATTGTTGTCTCCGAAGTTGTCAGAAGGAGCAGGTGGAATTATCTTAACTCTTCGGACATGTTATCATTGAACGGTGAGATGATTCATCACATTTCAAGCAGAAGATTCTCTCCATCTGATGAAATGTTTCGTGCAAATTCAAGCATTTCCTCTATTTTCAACGAGGATGAGAGTGCATTTACGTTATTGAATACTGCTGAGAAGAGATCTCTGTCTGATATTGCTCATGTTCCAAGGTTCATAGAAACATGCAAGCAGAATAGAATTGAACCGGGTGTGGCATCAAGTGGGAATAACGACAGGGAAGGGAGCCTGAGAAGGATATGGTTGGCAATTGCTCAACGAACAGTACAATGGTTTGCAGGACAAGAAAGAAACTCAACAGAGTTAGAGCCACAACATTTAGCTTCGAATGTTGGGACAACTTCGTAACCAACCACTAAGAACCAAACGGTACATTTTTCTCACTGTATAATTTTGGCTAATTTTTTTCTTTACAAATATTTATTAATAGATATTATTTACATTGTGAATTGAAATACATTCAATTATTTACATATTCGATTAAATTAATTATAATTATGTTAAATATCGAGTAAATTAATAGCATTTGCATTACACACGTTCGTTTAGACTGAGAAACAAGCTTGTTTTCAGGTTTGTGATTCTTTAATTCACTGTCATATAATGATTTGCGAATCAATTTGATTTAATTTGTTATTAAATAATTATGTAAATTAAACATACAAATCAAATACGATTGATTTTAATTCGGTTTTAATTTAATATAATATTGAAACCAAATGAAACTAATAGTTTCCTAAATTCCAAGTTCCTCAAAATAAATAAATAAAATGTGAATAAGATAAAAAGTTAACAACAAATTAAGTCTATAATTTACATAAAAAACAAAACAGAAAAAACATGGAACCCTAAATCTCGTGTAGTTGGGTATTGGCTGATTCAGAAAATCTCATCAATGAAGTAAAAAATAAATTAAAGAAATTATAAATAAGTTAACATATCAATTTTTATTTTGAATCCTCATTATTTTTTTTTTCAAATATTTATAATCCTTTAAAATTGAAAAAAAAATCTTAAATAATAAATTTGAAGGATTAAAATGTTTATTTAAAAAAAATTGTCTTTCAAATTTAGTATTTAAACATTAAAATAATATTTTGCTAACTTTTAAAGATTATTTTTAAAATTTAAGAGACTAGAAAATCATTTACTAGTAAAAACATAATTAAATCAATATTTATTTATATTTAATCTTTATTATTATATTTCTTTGGATAATCTCTAAATAATTTTAAAGTTTCTCTACTTCCTCAACTTACTTTGTATCGTAACAATAATATTTGTTTTTTTTTACCATAATGACTTATCCTACTATAGTATAAATAATAAGAGTAACTCAATGCATATCACCTTTTAACATTTTAAATTATGTACATATGTTTTAATTTAACCAACAACGTTGGCGATATAAATCACAGAAAAAAAAATAATCATACATTTAAATAAACCAAATTTGTTTGTAGCAAATGCTTGATTCGTCACAAATACAGAGCAAAGGCCAACCCCTCAAATAAATTATGGTTAACTGTTAGTTTGTTTAAATAGTTTTTTTTTTTTTTTGTCAATTTTAACATAAGATTATTTTTCAATATGAAGGAAAAAGTTGAGTTTCATCCCTTCCATAATGACCATATTTCTTCTGTGCAAGTGCAACTTTTTGTGGCATTACACCAGTCAACAGCTACCATAATACTATGCTCTTCAGTTTTCTCCATACCCTACTTTCCTCTTCCCAAGATATTGAATTGGTGCATTAACTCACTGAGCATGTTATGTTCACCAATGCATTTCACAGGCTTGTGTCATGCTCAGAAAAACTGATATGCTATGTGACACTTCCAAATCCATGTCTGAGAAATAAACAGAGTGTGACTCAGAAAGTACTCTACACTTAGTAGTGTGTAGCGTTTGTGATAGAATAAGAATAAAAGCAACATCCAAGGAAAGCATAGGTTCAAATTCTAGTTTAGCTGTTCCCTTACCTATTGTTTTGTTGATGAAACTCGGCGTAGTGAAGGAACAATGTTTCCTGAACGACCAGTCTTACTCCCAATTCCATGATGACCCACGTTTGATGTTCCTACTTGCCTTACTGGTTTTGACACATTTTCTGTGGATACTCTTGGCATAGCAGTAGACATAGATGAACCATTGTTCACAGTCTGCAGAGTTTTATTGCTATCAAATATTTTACTTCAGAAAAATATATGGATCAATATAATTTAATGAACAACTATAAGCAGATAGGAGCATCACGTGTAGAAAAGTAAAATGGTTATTTTTTCTTCTGGTATCCCATCTTACCAAATAATCAGAGAATGATCTTATTTGCTGTATTGCAATTATCACTGATACGAAAAGTTAATGTACTCACTACATAAATCAGAAGATATCATGTTTAAATCCTTACCAGGAGACCAAACCAACTCCATCAAGTTTGTAAGATAGTAATATAGCTCCTTGAAAATGTATGTCACTCACAATTTACTCCTAAAATAAATTATTTGCATGACAGTTCTTAAATAATTCAAATTTCTTCCATGTTACTCCCTCTGTGAGGTAACAAAATGAGTTTAATAATTGCAAGAAATAAAAGGTAGCATTGGTTTGAATCAGGGACTAAGTTGTGAGAGAAATAATAAGTTGAGTCATTATTTATGAAAAATAATAGAGGCAAGAAAACAATGGTGATATTTTCATCAGGCGCCTACATGTTTCTCTGTTGGAATCTTGGCATTATGATTCTGAACATTAGATGCCGTTGTTTTGAAAACACGTTGATGGTCAACTTTGATTGATGGTGTTTCTGCAGCAATTTGAGTGGAGCCATTGACAACTGAAAAAGGAAAAGAGTTATCTTTACAATACAGCAGCATTCTTCTGCGTAAGAGTTATCTTTACAATGCTATCTCAGATATGTTATATGAAACAGATAACCATATTGACCAAAAGCTTAGTATATTAAACGCTGCTATAACTTCCTGATTTCAACAGAAAATATCCTTGCAATCTCACCTCAAATTTCTAACTGATTCTGCCATGAACTACTAACCCCACAAAGTAAATCACATAACTTGGTACAACACAAATTTTTCTTGTGAAAACATCAAAATGTAAACAACTGATTCTTCAAATACCTCTTGATACAAGACTGGAGTTACCTTTATGATTATCCTCATCCACTGGTTCAATACTGGTAGGCACAGCCAGTGGAGCCTGCAATTCCAAATGGTTAAGTGAAATATTCAATAAAATTAGTACATATTTAATACAAAAAACCACAGAGCGTTTCATGATCCTCTATATGAAAAGAGCTTTCTCAGAATCTTAAATAAGTTCATACATATAGAAACTTGTTTATTTATTTATTTTCATTGTGAGTGTTTCCGATAAACATTATGGAGAAAAGTTCTATGTCATCAACAAAAAGGTGGAAGAGGGGAGGGGGATTGGTGCTTATAGCAGCAATTCTTTCGAAGGCTATTGAAATTACTGAACTAGGACAAGGAATTACTGACAATTTGTTGACTTTGTGTCTTTTGCTGTTGCATCTGTTGACATTTTAGAATGGTCCAGTCAAATAAATAGTCAGAATCATATCCTGCTAAACAAGAATTTATAAAATTAGCAGAAAAGACAAATATTACACCACATTAGTCATGTTACCATGCAATGCCACCCTGTTGAGAATAAAATATCAGATACTATTATAGTTAATGGTAGTGAGATAATCAACTAACAAACAAATTGAATTCTGCAACAAGACATGGCATGCACATGATAAGTCAAAAAGTCAATACCTGCACGAGTGAACAAATTACGAAATAGACGTTTCAAAAGCCCATAATCTGGTAGTTGATCAAATGTCAAAGAGCGACAATAGTGAAAGTAAGAAGCAAACTCCACAGGATATGACTTGCAAAGTGTCTAAGACCATAAAATGTAGTCAATCAAATTATATGTATAACGAAAAAATCAATAAGAAAATATCCTCCACTACCAAACAAAACCCACTGTAAATTTGTTTATACACAACTTAGCAAAATAATCAATGCTGGTAAAAGTGAAATTTATTGATGAACACACCTCAATGGGTGTTGATAACTTCTTTCTACATATTTTATCATATTTTTGTTTTTTGGTAGGAGCTTGCAAACCCTGCCAAGGAAGACTAAAATATGCAAGAAATATAAGTAGTCAAGTCATACATAGCTGAAAAACCTGGCCAACTAATACTCAATCAAGATTCCTTTTACAATTTTAGTCAATAGGATAACACATACCTTCCTCTTAAAAAGTACATTAAAACATAGCCAAGAGACTCCAAATCATCTCGACGACTTTGCTCTGAAAAAGTATAATTAAAACTGAGGAAAATTGAAGGTTATAATCTATAAACTGAGGCAAATTGTTTTGTACTTACCAATTCCTGAGTGAGTATTGTAACTTGCGTAACGTGCAGTCCCTGTTAAGCCTTTGTTCTCTCTGGGTAAGTTTATCAATATCAAAACAAACTTTCACCAACAATACCCTAACTTGTTTCAATCATTGTCGTATGTGAAAGGGTATTTTAATCATCGTTAAAATCTCTTTTTGCAATGGTGCTTCAATCAACAAAGACAATGGTTACAAAATTGGAAGTCAACAAGGACAAGGTTGTGGTGAATTTTGATGACAAGGAAGAGGTTCTTGTGAAGATCATGGACAAGATAAATTTTGAGAAGAGGACCAAGCTCAACTCATGGGCAAAACAACTCAAGGTATGAGAAGTTTTCATTAAGTTTCTATAAATGCACCTAAAAGCAACAGAGTTAAAAGAGAAGATTTATATTGAAGAAACATGTAACTTAGGAAACCCTTATTAGACTTGAAGTAGTTGATACCTAATTGAAGCAGACATTCATATGTGTTAGATGATAATTCAACAATAATATTGTAACGATTCTTTTAGTTAGGTTGATTAGCCTAACAAACCTTAGTTACTGCTTTAAATTACTGTGTTTTTACAATATTTCCGGGGGCAATTATATGATTCAATTTTTACATTTAATACAATTTTCATTTAGTGTATCTCTTTCTCTCACTAATAATGGTATCAAGAGCTTCAAGATCTAGGTTGCATGGTAACATGTCAGTGTTCGATAGCAAAAATTTGAATAGTTATGATAAATAGTGCATGAAGATGAAGACTATTTTTGTGTTTCAAGAAGTCTTGGATATAGTCTTGAATGAATATGATGGTTTATCGGAGAATCCCAACAAGGCACAACGTGCTATGTTTCGTGATGCGAAGAAACGTGATTGTAAAGTTTTGTTTTACATTCATCAATGTGTCGATGAAAATAATTTTGAGAAGATCTCGTTGGCAAACATGACAAAAGAAGCTTGGGACATACTGACGCAGAGTTACACAGGAATAGAGAGATTGAAGATGGTGTGACTTTAAACCTTGCATCGTCAATACGAGTTGTAGATGTGGACGCAAGAAACTATCTAAAAATATTTTTCAAGATTGTTGTCGATTACAAACTCGATGAAGTCATGTTGTAAAAGCTTGAAAGAACAAACGGTAGTAGATAAGGTGTTGAGGACCCTTGATGCAAGATTTGATATAATTTTTAATTATTATCAAAGAGTCAAAAGATCTCAATTTGTTGAAGATGGATGAGTTATAGGGTCATTGGAGGCTCACAAACAACAGGTATGTGAGAGAGCATAAGAGAAGTCCAACGTAGAACATGCGTTGTTAACGAAACAAAAGAATGAAAGTAATAGAGAAAAATCAAACAAGAGAGGTGGAGGAAGAGGTAGAAATAATGGTGGACAGAATTCAGAAGGGTAACATGAGAACTCTTTACAATTAAGAGGTGACAGACACAGAAACTCAAAATGGAGAGTGGTCATTCTAACTCTAGTGCAAGCAAGAAGAATGTATAGTGTTACAACTGTAACAAGTATTGTCATTATGCTACTAAATGTTGGAGCAGAGAAAAAGAAGCAAATGTTGCACAAAAGGAAGATTTGGAGGATGAAGTGTTGTTAATGGTGACCATGACGAAACTAATAGAGAAATTTGGTGAATCTTGGTATTTAGATATTAGTTATTTGAATCACATGTCATTTCAAAGGAGTTGGTTCATTTATCTCAATGAGAGTGTTAGATCGAAGGTAAAATTTGCATATAATTCAATAGTGAACTGTGAGGGGAAAGGTAGAATCATGATCAGAAGAAAAGATGACAAATTTGCAATAATTTCGAATGTGCTTTATGTGTCAGCCATAAAACACAATTTGCTGAGTATCGGACAACTACTTCATAAAGGGTATTTGATCGATTGGAGATCGAGGGAGCAAGTGTTGAGAATCTCCGATAAGAATGAGACACTAATTTTGAAGGCACCTCTGAGTAAGAATAGAGCTTTTTGAAACAATATTTCAGTATCGAATAACTTGTGTTTTGTAACAGCAGTCTCAGATGACAATTGGTTGTGGCATTTGCAATTTAGTAATCTTGACTTCGATAATTTGAACCAAATTGTAGAGAAGGAGATGGTGATTGGATTGCCTTGAGTCCAAAAGTGTAAAAACATATGTGAAAGTTGCATGACAGTTAAACAAGCTAGAAATCCCTTTAATATGTGCATCGAGATCAGAAATAAGGATGTGTTAGAAGTTATCTACACCGATGTATGTGGACCCCTCATGTTCCTTCACTAGGTGGTAACAAGTATTTTGTGACATTCATTAATGACTATAGCAAGAAGATGCGAGTGTACTTGCTCGAGAAGAAGTTAGAGGTATTTATTCGTTTCATCGATTTTAAATTGATGGTCAAGAAACAATGTGGTTGAGCTATAAAAGTGTTGATATCGGATGGTGGTAGAGAGTACAACAATGGTGAGTTTGCATCATTTGGCAAGAGAATGATAATTTGCATGAGATTGTACCCCCATACACACCACAATACAATTGTATTGTTGAAAGAAGAAATTGAATGATTTTAAATATAGTCAGAAGTATGTTGAAGACCAAAGGTTTGTCACATTCGTTTTGAGGTGAAGCAATAGCAACAACTGCATACATTTTGAATCAATGTCCAAAAAGAGAATAAAAGAGAAAACTCCAGAAGAAATGGTCTGGGAGAAAGCCAAATATAAAACACTTGAAAGTATTTGGTTCGATTACTTGGAGATTGTTCCAAATGGGAAGAGGAAGAAGCTCGATGATAGAAGCCAAGAGTTTATTTTTGTAGGATATCATGTAACTAGTGCATATAAGTTGTATGATCCTATCAAGCAGAAGATCATCATCAGTAGAGATGTTGTTGTAGATAAGAAAGATGGTTGGAAATGGTGTTCGATGGTGAAAAATCAAAAGTGTTAGCTTTGATGACTTACGTGATACAAAAATCGAAGGTAAAGATTGATCAATTTCTAGTATAGAAGGAGAAGAAAATCATCGATCGATTCTCAAAATCAAAAGAGGAGGAAGAAATCGATTGATTATTGAAATCGAAAAAAGGAGCAATCGACCAATTAGATTGATTAAGACACCAACTAGATTTTATGATTATGTAATTAATAATGATGATTATGTAAATAATTGGAGAAATGGAGGGCGAGAATGATCTTGTGCATTTAGCCTTGTATGCTGACATGGAGACTGAACTAGTTTTCTTTGAAGAAGCAATTAAGGATCCCAAGTGGATCGAAGTCATGAAAGAGGAGTTGTTGGCAATCAAGAAGAATAAAACATGAGAATTAACTGACCTCCTAGAGAATCAAAAACCAATTGGAGTAAAATGGGTGTACAAGACGAAGCTAAAACCTGATGGAATAGTTGCAAGATATAAAACCAGACTTATTGTGAAAGACATTTTATATAGAGAAGGATTAGACTATAAAGAAGTGTATGCACCTTATGCCAAGATGGAAACAATAAGAACAATGGTAGCTCTCGCTAGCTATAAAGAGTGACAAATGCATCAAATGGATGCAAAATCTGTATTTTTAAATTGCAAACTGGAGGAAGAAGTTTATGTTACACAACCACCAAGGTTTGTGATCACTGAAGAAGAGCAAAAGGTTCTCATGTTAAAGAAAACATTGTATGGTCTGAAACAAGCTTTGAGAGCCTGGAATACTAAAATCGATTATTGTCTTCAACAACAAGGTTTTTTGAAGTGTGAGATTGAGTATGATATTTACTTGAATATTGAATGTGATGATGTGTTGATTATTTGTCTGTGTTGATGATTTGTTGATTACTAATATAATTATATTGATCGAGAATTTTAAAAGGAGGATGAAAGATCAGCTTGAGATGACCGATCTAGGGAAGTTGTCATATTTTTTGGGAATGGAGTTTATCAAAGACAGGGAAGATATTCTGATTCATCAAAGTAAATATGCTAAAGATGTGCTTAAGAAATTTAGAATGGATGAGTGTAATGTTACAATTACACCAGCTAAGTCATATTTGAAGCTTGACAAAGATGAAGATGAGAAACCTGTAAATGCTACTGTTTACAAACATATGGTTGGTTGCCTAAGGTCCTTGTGTTGTAATAGGCTGGATATTTGTTTTGATGTTGCGTTACAAAGCAGATTTATAGAGAAACCCAAAGTTTCTCATCTGGCTATAACTAAGAGAGTTCTGAGGTATATTAAAGGGACGATCGATTTCGGCATTCTATTACTAAATGTTATATATCAAAGTGGAAGAGAATTTATCGGATATTTCGAATCTGACTGAGCTAATAATAAAGTTGGGTTCAAAAGCACATCAAACTATGTATTCCTATTGGGAAAATCATTTATTTCATGGTGCACAAAGTTACAACTTGTTGTGACACTCTCTTATGAAGTTAAGTACATAGTTGCTACTTACATAGTTTGTCAAGCACTTTGGATCGAGAGTTTGGTGAA